CTACGTGCAATGGGGGGAGATAATTATAGGGAAGAGAAACAGAATCCTTACTTCATTTTCTTTGAGGCCCAGAAAACTTTGCTCCAGTCCAAATATTTTAAAAATTCCCTACAGGGACTGAATCTACCTTTCTGGAAATAGAAACTGTATTTTGTCATACTTAGTGCTATTTCCAGAAATTCGTTTTCAAACAGAGGGAAAAGTGTTCTTAAAATTGAATTTATAAGGAAATCATTTTCCTTTCTTCCTGGAAATTCATCAACTGATTTTTTTTAACCTTAGATCTAAGAATATTTAGAAGACTCTGCTTGCACGTGTTGACTTTTCTCTTTGGAATTAATTCAGTGGGAATGGATGGACTCCTCATTACTCTATTGTAAAGGGCAGATGTGGCCTTGATCCTTGGGGTGGGATTCGGCTTCACCTGGTTGACGGACAGTAAAAACAAAAGTGCTCAGAGAACAAGGGTGACTTAGGTCTCCGTGCTTTTGGAGGCTGAATTACAGCAGGACTGAGCTATGGAGGAAAGAGGTAGAGCGGTGATAATATGGAGGAGCTGTAGAGACCAAAAAGCAAAGAAGGGGTTTTGCCTCGCATATAAAATAATTTCAATTGTGAAGCCCAGTATTAGCTCTTGTTAAATAGTACATTCGTATCTAGATAATATCTGTATTTCTTCAGGTAAGTTTAAAGCATTAATAATTTCCCAGTTAAAAATGCTTGTTAAATATTAAATAAAAATCAAACAGACTTAAGAAGTCTTTTGCCTGAAATAATGGTTTATAATCAAGTCTTATCTTTACTGAAAAGTAGATCTAAACATGGGTTACGATGAAGCAAATACTATTTAGTTAGAATAACAAAATAAAATCGAAAAAGCCTGGGGTAAAAGTCTGTCTTATTGTAAACTATTAGTGACTGGCAGTGCCTTTTAAAAGGCTTAAGAAATGGCAGAAGAGAAATTAAAATGACCCAAGGCACTCTTACTAAATATCTTCAGGACATTTCTTTAAAGCTTAACATACTTAGAGAAAAACCTTTTCTTTAGGTTCACGTATTGAATGCTCTTAACAGTCCAAGAATTTGGCCATGGATTAAAACCTTGTTTACTTGGCATATACGTATGTATTTATTTCCTTTAATATATATCAGTTAAACAGAGGAAAATGTACATTATTAACTACCCCTTCAAACTCAAATAAAAATTAACCTTCCAATATGAAAGAAAAACATAATTTGAGATTGAAGTTTTAAATGGAGAACTGATTCTCCTTAATAGGTATTTGCCAACTGCCAACTAGACATTCATAGCCTGCTGAGTTTGAAGGATTAGAATTGGGCCATACCCGATATAATGTAATTAAATTAAATTTCTCATACCACCAGCTGAAAAGTATAAAACTGCTAACTGAATTTAGTTATAACACAGAAAAAAATTTGCAAAATTTCAGAGATTTTTTTTATTGGATGGCAGATACCAAAATGCAGCTTTTAATCTTTTCATTATTTCAAAAGGTGGTAAAACTGCAAGGTTTTAGTTCATGTGCACCAGACATATAATTCTAAAACATCATATCATATAGCTCTCTACCCCCCAAAATGGAAACTGAAGATATCACATATTCTATATGTTCTGAGAATACAAAGGGGAAATATCATCTATATTCTTACTTACTTCCTGAGAAAAAAGTTTTGTAAGGATGTCAGCAGATAATTAAAAGCTATGATTATGACTTAGTTTTCTAACATGAACAGGAAGATATGGTATTTTCCAGGCCTTGTATTATTCTTTAAAGAATTTTTAAAATTAGGATTCAATGATTTTTTTAATAGAAGCTTTTAAATCTTTTCTACTAGGAACTGCTCCCACCTACCTGCTTGTAAATTTAGATCTGAATATTAACAAACATTATTCTCTATTGAGAACACTTAATGAAAAACTAAAATGATTTTAAATGACAACTGTTATTTTCAGGTTTCACTTTCAATAATTCTGACAAATAACAGAGATGGGCTACCCAAACATGTATGATATATGTAATTACATTTACTTTCCATTATCTCTACAGCTTTGAAGGAGGCTACATATAGCTCTATATTTATAAATATGTATACATGTATTTGGATGTGAATGTAAGGAAAGGTCTTCTACAACCATTCACACACACATGAAAGCAAGATGCTGCTGCAGTTCTTTTAAAACATCTTCAAGAATAAAGAATGCTGGTTTGGTCAAATTCAGCTGGTTATCTTGAATTTGTTCCTTTTGATGATAAATAGCAGAGATGGCCACTTCTGAACACGAAAAAGCACTGGTTAGAATTTACGTGTTCAGGAGGAACTGCTGGGTCACTGGAGCATCAGTACCAGGCAATGTATAGACACTGTGGTCCCCAAGTGCCAGAAATTCCCATGCACAGGAGGAGGGGTGTGCCTGACGTGGCACCTCAAAAGAGGCCCTTTGCATGCCACCCCAAGAGCTCTGCTTAGTGATTCTCAACCAAATGTCTCAACCTCTTAGACAGCAGGCTATCCAATAAGAGAAATTTAACGGAGTGTGAAAATAGAATTGGATTTTAAAATACAAAATGGAAAAGAAACCCAGACGTTAAAATGTTTACTTTCCAAACAAAAATGAATTTTTAAAAAGTATGCAAAGGTGAACTGTGAATATCTGAATATTAAGCAGCTCAGAGTAAAACAGGTCATGATTTCACACACATTCCAAAGATCAATTCAGTACTGTCAAGTGGAAAAAAAGAAAAAGGCTGAGAACCACTTTGTAGCTGTAATGGTGCCTCTCCTGGCTATACTCCTCCCATATTTGCATAAAACTTATATATAATATCATGCAAATCATACTCAAATATTTCTCACAAGTAAAGTGCATGAACCTTTGAGAATTGTTAGGCACAAAGGACTGAATAGCCCATGGACATGGGAAATACAAAACGGGGAAGAATAACACTGATATATACATGGGTATATATATATCAATTTACCCTTTTCCTTTTTCCTGTAAAAGCAAGTTAACGCAGACACCTGGGATGAAAGCCAAACTCACATGGGACAGATTTTAACTGTAGACTTCAAAACCAAGTATGTTTCTTATTTTAGGACAATGTTTGCACGTTAACTAGTCACAAGGCACAGTGAATGAAGTCTAAGAGACAAAAGAAATCTCAGGAGTTGTTAGACATCACAAATTTTCTGCATTGCCAGGACATGGTCCCTATAGCTACTGACGACACTTTGCAACACACGACACAGCTCAAGTTCAGGAAGAGAAAAATAACCATTTGTAACCTTACATTATGAACCTGATGGATGGCTGAGAAAGGAAATCCAGCGTTCTGATTCGTCCATATCTCACAGACAGACGACTGCTGATATAAACAGAAAACTATCTCATCTTGTCAATATTTAAAACACGGCAGCTACCAAGGTAGCATCAAAGAAGGGAAGGAGGAAAGTAATAAAAAGCAAGGAATCATATTTCTTAAAAAAAACAACAACGCAAAACACCAAAAAAACCTTTTAGGGTGCCCGAGGTTTAATAATTGACTTTCAAGTCATTCTTTTGCCTAAAAACACTTTTGGGTTGGCTGGGAAAAAAAAAAGACCATTTATGCATTAGTATTATGTCAAGGGAAATTACCAATCCATTCACATCTTGGAAAAAGCAAACTGTGTTTTACATTTGCCGAAGAGAACGGAAATACCTTCCCTCTTCATGTCATTCGTTTCAGAGGATAAATATTTTTATGAAGTTCAAGAAGGATGGGAAAAAAATCTTTAACACAGGTCAAATATTTTTATTTTCTTATCTTCAAATGACCGAGAGCAAACAATGCAATAAAATGACTTTCCTAATTTAGTCATTGCTCAAGTTGATAAACCTAGAGAGATATTTTTCCCCTCCAGAGCTCTCAAGAGCAAAGCTCTGTGATTAACAAGGGAGAAGTGTCAGTTTGCTGCCCAGCAGAGGGAATGTGTGGTGGTGGAGGGGCCCCAAGGAGGCACAGCAGGGAGGGGCTGGGGTCGGGAAGCTCTGCTCCGTCCCTCAACCAGAAACTTTGGGGAACGCCATTTGGTGTCTGTGAGCCTAATGAATCTGCTCCATGATTCGGATTCTCTACCACACCATTAACAATCTAACAACCAACGATTATTAAAAGGCAGTAACGTTTGCTTAGAACCAAATGCCAAATGAACCAACACCCTCCCAGGAGTTATAGCAGAAACCACCAGATAAACCAACGAGACTCCTGGCTTGACCTTTACAGAGTTCTTTTCCTGAATTCCATCATCTAAAAGACACCATGAAACTGAATCACAGAAAATGGCAGAACGCCTGAACTTATTCAGCCAAGCACTGCGAACATCCCCAGAATTCACAAGCAGAGCGCACAAAGATCAGTGCAGGAAGGAGATAAGAACGTAACCACAATACAGTTTAGAAACCCAGCAAAGAACAATATCATCAGCAAATGCGTTGTGGAAAAGAAAGCTTATCCCTGGCTAAATGTTTCCCCCACCTCCACCCTCCCAGAAACGCTCACCAGAAATTTAACATCTCTCTCTCCAGTTCCAAAGGCAGCTCCACACACACCTACATCTTTGCTTTCCATCCCTTCTGTCATCTGGATGGCTTGCTGGGGACAGACTGTCAGGTAATTGGCATTCTGTTAAGAAAGTAAGATACCTGGGGTCTGACCAAAAGGCACCTCCAACCACCTCCCACTTAAACCAGCTCTGCTATTCTCAGTTTCTGCTCTAAACTTCACGCTATTTTCTCCACAGGGGCATCTTCCCCTTCCTTCTCTGCAAAAATTAAATCTCTAGCAAGTTAAGTCTTGGGGCCATTAAACCCCCAGCCTCGTCTCCAATAGGTGTCATCTGATTTAAATATATTAATTCCATGCTTCAGCAGG